TGAGGGACAGCTGCCCTGGGCACTTCCTGAAAATGTAGATTCTGGGAGAAATTCTCCAAGAAAAGAAGAGGACCACAGGTGCAAGGGGGCACTCCAGGGTAAGAAGGCCACATGGACTGAAGTAACTTTCAAGGTGAAAAGGCAATTAAAAAATTGGTGATAAAGTCTAATCAGATAGAAGTGGCTTCAGGAGAGGGAAAAAACTGGATTCATTTGGGTACTGGAAGGTAATTTCTGCCTTCCAGATCCTTATAACTCTAATTCACAGTCTATATGGGGAAATAGAAAAATTCATACGAAATAACTGAATAACTTTGTAACACCCAGGGACTCTTTTACACATAGACATCAAGAAAGATAAACAAGACCACATCACACCTATCAGATTGGCTAACATGAAAAAACAGGAAAATGATAAATGTTAGAGAAGATGTGGGGAAACTGGAATATTAATGCATTGTTGGTGGAGTTGTGAAATGATCCAACCATTCTGGAGCTCAATTTGTAACTATGCCCAAAGGGCTATAAAAATGTTCGCACCCTTTGATCCAGCAATAGCACTTCTAGGGCTGTATCTCAAAGAGATCATAAAAATGGGGAAAGGGCCCACATATAAAAAAATATTTATTGCAGCTTTTTGTTTGTGGCGGCAAGGAATTAGAAAATTCCCCCATCAACTGGGGAATGGCTGAACAAATTGTGATAAGTGAATGTAACAGAACACTATTTTGCTATAAGAAAGGATGAGCAAGCAGACTTCAGAAAAACCTGAAAGACTTGCATGAACTGATGCTGAGTGAAGTGAGCAGATCCAGGAGAATGTTGTACACAGTAACAACCACATTGTGCAATGACTAACTTTGATAGACTTATCTCTTCTTAGCAATGCAAGGATCTAAGACATCTCCAAAAGTCTCATGATGGGAAATGCTATCCACATTCAAAGAAAGGACTGTGCAGTTTGAATGCAGATAGAAGCATACTATTTGCTCTTTTTTTTCTTCTGTTTTGTTTTGTTTCTTCTTTCTTGTGGTTCCTCCTATTGGTTCTAATTCTTCTTTACAATACGACTAATGTGAAAATATGTTTAATAGGAATGTATATATAGAGCCTATATCAGATTGCACACCATCTTGGGGAGAGAGGTGAAGAAGGAGGGGGAGAAAATTTAAAACTCAAAAGCTTATGGAAGTAAATGTTTAAAACTAAAAATTAATTAATTAATTTTTAAAAGAAGAAAGCTAGACCAGGTTAGAGGTACTCTGTAGATTAGAATCCATTCAAAACCATAGCTTTCAGGCCTTTATCAACATATTTACTTTATAAGAGCATGAGCTTCATTAGTTTCAATCAAATGACTTTTAATCAAATAAGCTATCAAATCAACCCAAAGGTCTTGCTTTTCCTACTTTTATACACTGTCTACAAGTTATAGATGCATCTTTTTTCTTCGGCTAGGCAATGGGGTTAAGTGACTTGCCCAGGGTCACACAGCTAGTAAATGTTATGTGTCTGAGGTTGTACAGATGCATTTCCAAGGTTTATTATAAGTACACTCACAGACTTATGTACTTTTCCACAGATTTTTACACCACCATTGGGGAAGATCACATATGTATATGGCCAGGGCATAGCAACAACTCATATCTGATACTAAAGACTAATTGATGTCCTTTATTGAAGCCTTTGCTGCACTCTCTGCTGCTCTCTGCCAGGTATTGTCTTCATTCAATGCTGTATCACATTATTTCTGCTCTGCAATGATCTTGTGGCCACTGAGGAGCCTCCTGCTATTACAAGCAATGACTACTAAGCCTCAGGGTATATGAGGTGTTCAGGACTATCACCTCTGGTGTGACGGCTTGCTGAACCCTTTTCAGGGTTGCTTATCCACCTTTGGTGTCCATAGGATTCACCCAACTCTCACCTGTGGCTCCAAGAAGCTGTAGCACGTATAGTGACCACACCCAAACCATCTCAGCAGATGGGCTAAACCAAAAGTCCTCAAACCATCAGTGCATTAGAGGACTGTCTACCCCCCACCATGTGAAGACATCCCCCAGCAGAATGAGCAAATGAGAATGATTTGTTCCAATGGTCACGAAGGTGGCTGACGCAGTCACTGAGGACTTCTTACAGCTCAGTCTGATATCAAAGATGCCAAGGAGATCCACTGCATCCCATGCCATCACTAGTCATCCTAAGTTTTGTTCTGCCACTGAACTTCAATGATTGAAAGAGAGAGTGAGTGACAACTTTGTGCAACTCTGCCTTACTTAAATCCACTCCACATGCAAATCAAGACATCGCCCGTAATGTCATTGGTCCTCTTTGAAAACTAAGTATGAACAGCAACTAAGCCTCAATATGAGTAACAAATGGTTAAAGCTATCTTAATAACTTTCTAAGGTCTTCAAACTACCACATCCATCCAGGGACTGAACCAAAGCCATAAAAAACTCAAAGCTAAGATCAAATGTATTCCTTTGACCCTTGTCTCCTAGTGCTAACTCATATGACCAGAGATTCATAACTAGAAGAGAATTTAGAGGCTATCTAGTCAAATTCTATCATTTTAAAGATGAGGAAACTGAGGCCCATCAAGAAGTCTGTGTTTTCCCCAAGGTCTCATAGGTTAAAAATGTCAGAGAAAGTATTTTAACCCAGGCCCTTATCCTGACTGTAAAGCTAATCTTTCCACTGTCCCTGACCCCAGCCTACTATGTGCTTTAATTTAATTTCCTTTAATTCCTGTCAAATCCCTGATTGTTATTTTAAAGGTTTTACTCAACAAGCACTATAGAAGCAATATAGGTATTGAGGTGAGGAGGCCCCTCTCGGATCCCACCATATTCACCAATTGTCATGTAGATTAACCTCAGGGCAAAAAAGGGGAGGGGGAGACTAGTAGAAACTGGCAGCTTCTGCCTTTGTTCCACCATCCTGCTTTTATTATGATTGTCTGCCAGCAACAAAATGGCTGGTCATTGTTTAACCTTCTGGCCAGCACAAATACAATGCTAGTCTCTCTGTAATTGTTATTCTGTGCTTTTATTTGTTTGTTTTTTTACAGTTTGCTGAGTGCTTTCTTTAAAATAATCTAAAAAATTAACATTTATTATTTTGATAACTATCTTAATATAATTGATTTCCTTTGTAATTGCGTAAATTTTATTTTACACATTAAAAAACATTACTCTGGGAAAGGTTCCAGGCCAAAAGGGTCCACGACACACACAAAAAAGGTTAAGAACTCTGAGGCTGGATGATGTCTCAGGTGATTCCAGCTCTAAATCAATGATCCTTTGAGCAGATTCATAAAAGTCGAAGGTCGCAAAGGTATTATCAGAGCCAGGACTCAAACCCAGTTTCCTGGCTTTGAAGGTCTTTCCATTAGAGTGGGTTGCCTCCTACTTTAATGGAACAGCACACCCACCCACAGAAATGAATGTAGCACAACTGAGGACACAGATGCCTAAGGGACATGTAGCAGACTGGCTAGAATCAGGCCCAATCAATCACAGAAGGCTTCCTGGAAGAAAGAGATTATCAACCTCAGTGTTGATAAAAGAGAAGCATATGGATTGGTAGAGATGAACAGTCACCCTGCATATTTCAGGTAAAATGAAACCCAAATGCTTTTATCTCTATGTGACCAATTATGTGACTACATAGGCCTGCCCTTCTCCCACATTACCCAGTAAGATGGCTAAAAATACTGCATTAGACACGCCACTGTCCATTTTTGTTTTTCTCAGAAATAATAGTATATTTCATAGATATAGAGCTTTTCAAAGCACTTTTATATTGATTACTTCAAATGACAAGAAAATAGGCTCAGCAAAGTAAAAATGACTTGTCTAAGAGCATAAAGGAAGTTGATGGGCAAGCTAATATGAGAACCCAGGGCCACTGCTTCCCAGCCTTGTCAGTAGTTCAAATGCTGCACATTGAGAGGAATATCTCTAAAGAAAAAGTCAAAGTGGGTGAATGATTTAAAAAAAACCCAGAAAGTAGAAATAGGAGGAAAGAAAAAGAAAAAGAAGGATATAAACAGAAATAGATGGAGAGCAATAGGGATAGAGAGAAGATAGAATGACTAATGGAAGGAAGGAAGGAAGGAAGGAAGGAAGGAAGGAAGGAAGGAAGGAAGGAAGGAAGGAAGGAAGGAAGGAAGGAAATATGCAGTGACTATTCATGTCCACTAATCCATATATTTCTCCTTTATCAACACCCAGGGAATTTTCTCCTGTAAGGTATGTAAATTGTAGTTAGTTTGTAAATTTCCATTTGCATATGCCGTATGTCAAATACTTAAAAGCAAAAATCTGGCTGAGTTTATTTTGTATGAGACACAAAATTTTCTTTTTCAATGCAAATATGTCCATGCCTTGGCCACAGTCATTTAAGAGAAGCTGGTTTTGAATGGATTCTGAAGCTACAATAACAACACTAACAGGAGGCAGTGAAAATTCTTCATGAATTTTATTTCGCAGGCATTTACAGACCCACTTTCACAGAAGGTGGCCTTTACTGGCCCAATTGCGGGAAGCAGCCCCAACTCAACTGCCTTGAAATCACTGCCTATCATGCCCTCCCATGCCTCTCCCCAGCCCACAACCAGCTGTCATATGGCTGGGATTCCAGCTGGTGCCTCCTCCTACCAACTACTTAATAAGTTAACTCTCTGCTCTTTTTCCAATCTCTCCGTCAAAGGACAAATTTTCACCATGAACCCAGCTTGGAACAAATCTTGGCCCCCAGCAGAAAACTGGAAGGAAATCAAACCCCCAGTATGGCTCTGTCATATCACAAGGAGAAGGAAAGAGATAAAAGAGAAAGGTGGAAAGGAAGAGAGAGAGAGAGAGAGAGAGAGAGAGAGAGAGAGAGAGAGAGAGAGAGAGAGAGAGAGAGATGGAGAGAGATTGGGGAGAGCCAGGTGAGACTGTGTGGTGGAAGAAGACAGGACAGTACAACTCTCAAGAGTCTGGTTACCTGTGGGCCTTGCCCTGTCTGATGACAACCATCTCCTATTTTCTTGGACATGTCTGCATCAAGGTCACAAGTCCCTCAAAGGATTCTCCATGGTTCCTCCTTCTGCCTTGCTCTGCAAACTAAACATTATAGAAGTTATCCATACTTTAGGTGGGGAGCAGCAAGGAAAATAGGAGGAAGTTGCTCTGCTTGGGGTATAACAAAAACATCCTACATTTATAAATTTTGGAAGTTGGAAGGGACCTCTAAGTTAACTTGTGTTAAACTTATGATCTACTATAACTCCCCAAATCTTTTTTAGGCAAACTATAGTCTGTTTGTGCTTCTCTCAGTTTATAATGTTAATTTTGTTTAATCTATGTACATAAAATGGGATGTACTAGAAAAAGCCCTGGCTTTCAGGTCAAATTCTGACTCTTATCCTTACTAATTGTATGATCTCTGGCAAGTCATTAAAACTCCCTGGGCCTCAGATTCCTCTTTCATAACATAAGAATGTTAGGCTAAATGGCCTCTTTGATCCCTTATAGCTCTAAATCTGAGATCCTATGAATGAATACTTATTCTTATGAATGTTCATCTGCTTTAATCAGTCAATATTGCAACTTTTTTTTGGAATTCTGACATCATCATCCACTGCATTATACGTACCTCCCCCCTACCTGTCCTCTTCAAATTTGATGTGCCTGCCATCTATGCTTTCATCCTAGTTATTGCTAAAATGTTGAGGACCCTGAGCCAAGCACAGCTCCCTGGGGTTCTCCATTGCAAAACTCCTTTCAAGTTCACATCAAACCATTGATAACTACTTTTAGTGCCTAGCCACTCAGCCAGCTCAAAATTCAATTGATTGTACAATTGTATAGGCCACGTTCCCCCATATTTTCCAAAAGGAAATCATGAGAGACTTTGCCAGATGCTCTCCTAATATTTAGGTAAACTATACCTACAACCCATTCCTGACCTACCAGTCTAGTGGCCTTGTCCAAAGAAAGGAAATGAGATTAGCTTTACATAATCTGGTCATGGCAAATTTATGTTGCATCTTTGTGATTACTGCTTCCTTTCTAGATGTTCACTAACTCTCATTTAATAAAACATTCTAGCTCTTCCATGGATTTCAGGCAAGCTTATTGGCTTATAACTTAGAGACACCATTGAGAGACATTTGCAACTCTGAGTGGGCAGTGCCCCTAGCTGGAAGAGCTAGATGGTGCAGTGAAGAAAGTGTTGCATGTGGAGTCAGAAAGACTCATCTTCTTGAGTTCAAGTCTATCCTCAGCTGTGTGACCCTGGGCAAATCACTTAACCTTATTTGCCTCAGTTTCCTCATCTGTAAAATGAGCTGGAGAAGTAAATGGCAAACAACTCCAGTATCTCTGCTGAGAAAATCTCAAATGGCATCATGAAGAGTTTGACAAGATTGAAAAAGACTGAGCAACAAGCTGGTAAAAAGACATGAATGTGTATAGTATTTAAAGGATGATTTAGTAGGGCATCTTAAGCCTGGGGATTTTGATAGCCCTAACTGATATGCCAAGACAGCTGAATAACCTCTTCAGAGACAGGAAGAAGAGTGGGCTCAGGACCTATAAACTTAGAAGCATATATTAGACTAGGTGCTATCACCCAGGCAGTCTCATTCTCTCTTGTTATTTCAATTCTAATTTTCATACACATTATATTGCCGTATGTGTCTCTGGCCCCAACCTTATTCTGTAGTCTATGCCCACATCTGTAACTGCCTTCAGGACATCTCTAGCTGGATGAAACACCAGCACTTCAAAATTAATATGTCCAAAATTTGCTTTATTACCTTTCTTCCTAAATATAGTTTTATCTCTCACTTCACTATTTCTCTCTGAACCCACTGAATCTCCCATATCTACAGCATTGGGAGTTATCTTTTACTTTTCTCTCATCTTCACCTCTAATATCCAGTTTTCAATTCCTTTTCATTCCACTTCTGAAAAATTTCTTCAAAGTGTTCTTCCTTCCTCTCAATTCCCACTGCCTCTACCCTGGGGGAGGTCCTTATTATCACTCATCTTACTATTAGTAGTCTATTTTTCCCATTTTCACTCTCTCCCCCTCTAAGCAATCATTCATGGAAGCTTTCCTTCCACTAAGATCTGGTGATGTCAGAGCTGTAGAAGGGAATTTTAGTATCAAGGGAAAATACATTTGAACTGGTTTGGATAGGACGGTGCATAAGGTATGACCACACATGTGTATGGCTGAGATAGATTAGAGACATAGATCACAGGAGTTGAGGAAGTTGAGGAACTCGGAGGGTATTGTGTTCAAAGGAGAAAGGGGTTAAGGTGGAGAAGAATGTGAGTTAGTTACTGAACAAATAGGAGGTAAGAGTGAAGACCTAAAGATATCAGCAAAGATCTTCACAGGACTGATCAACTGGGGGAAACTAGCAGAAGAAGTAACTTTCTACTGGCTATATTAATTGTCACCTTCATTTCTGCTGCCTGACTCTTCCTCTTTGTAGTAAATTCAGCTTCAGCCTTACCCTTTCACGTGCCCCCCACAGTGACTTTTCTCCTTCAGAGGAAAGGTTACTGAATTTAGAGTCAGAGGACCTGAGTGTTGGAATCCTGACTCTGATACTTACTAAACTGTGTGATTTCTCTGAACCTCAAGTTCCTTATCTGTAAAGTGAGGAACTTGGCCTGTAGTATATCTAAATTCCCTTCTAAATCTAAATCAGTGATCTTATAATCTTATGAACTTCAAAGGAGAAAGGATAGATGAGAAATGGTGGCAAATGGAGGCTGTGAAAGTGCCAACTGGGAGCAAGGAGTATGATGACTCTTCTTCCTCTTGTGTCCCATGCATCAAAGGCAGCAAGAGAAGGAATAGCCAGCCTTGGAGGAGATGCCAACAGATGCAGTGTCTGCAAGAGAAAGTTAAGCTTCATTATACACCGGAACATGAAAAGAATGTAAGAAGAAACCATCTAGGAGCCAAAATTTGTCTGGAATACAGCCCAAGTGTCCCACATTAATTCTGCCTCTAGGTTTTGCCACTACTCTACTCAAAATCATTAGTGATATCATTTTTGTTTTCATGCTTTAGCTCAAATTTCTTTGTCTGCTATTCAAGAGTCTCTACAACCTGCCATGACTTATTAGATTTATCTTTTTTACTATCCTCCACACCCTCTGTGTTAGAGAAGATAAGTCTCTTCATCCCTTAAACACATCACATGCCTTCCTTACTCCAAATCTTTGGTCACAATGTTCCCTATTCCAAGTATTCAATAACTATTTAAAAAAACATATCTGAGTTCCCTGCTATGTGCAATACAGTGACCTAGATGCTGGGGATATGATGACAAAAAAAAAACAGTCCTGTCTTCAAAGAGCTTAAAATCTTCTAAAGTCAGAAAGAAGGAAGGGACAGATTTAACATGTACCCCCAAAAAAGTGATTACAAAACAATTTGGCAGAGAGCCTTAAAGTAAGATAAGCATTCTGACAGGCAGAGTTGAAAAGTAAGTACAATCAGGTATTAATGACAGAAAGAGCAAAGGCTTAGTGTCAGGAAATACAATGTTAAAATCAAGGATAGTAGTAGTCCAGGTTTGCTAGGAAATATAATGCACAAATGTTACTAGAAAAGTCTGTTGGAAATGGATTGTAGAAGCCTGAGGAGTCCGCATGTTGTTCTAGAAACAAGAGGAAGAAGCAGTTGAAGGTTTAGACCAGGTATGATTCATGATCTGAACTGTGCCTTAAGAAGAATATTTTGGTAGCTGTGAGGAGGATTGTCTCCACAAAGTCCTACTCAGATGCCTCATTGTGGCGTGGAAGTGGCCCTGGATAATAGAAGACAATGCCAGCAGAGTATAAGTTTTCACAGGTGCTTCCATACTGGAAAGTCTTTGAGTACAGTTCTGGCAATAGACTGACTCCAGTAATGGTTCCCAAAATGTGGGAAAGAGAGAATTTGGAACTCAAAAATTAAAAAAAAAAGTTTACATTTTTATTTACATTTAATTGATGAAAATTTTAAAAAATTAAATGTAGAGAAACAACAACAGGTAAAAAATTAGAGAAGCATGAGAAGACAGAAAAAAAAAGAAATGACAAATGCTGGAAAGGATGAGGGGAAAATAGGTACACTAATGAACTGTTGGTAGAGCAGTGAACTGGTCCAACCATTCTGGAGAACACTTTTGAACCATGCCCAAAGGGCCATAAAACTATACAGATCCTTTGACCCAGCAATACCATTACTAGATCTATATCCCAAAGAGATCAAAGAAAAAGGAAAAGGACCAATATGTACAAACATTTATAGTAGCTCTTTTTGTGATGGCAAAGGATTGGATATCAAGGAGATGCTCATTAATTGGGGAATGGCGGAACAAGTCATGGCATACAATTGTGATGGAGTACTATTGTGCTATAAGCAATGACAAGGAGGACGGTTTCAGAAAAATATAGCAAGGTCTATATGAACTGATGCAAAGTGAAATGAGAACCAGAAGATCATTGGTAACAGGAATCTTGTAATTATGACCAACTGTGAAAAACTTGGTTACTCTGATCAATACAATAATCCAAAACAATTCCAAATGACTCATGCTGAAAAAATGCTATCCCCCTCCAAAGAGAGAACTGATGAGTATAAATTGAATTATAATTTTCTCACTTTCTTTATTTTTCTTGCTTTTTTTTGGAAATATGGCTAATATGGAAATATATATATATATATATACATATATATATATATATATATAATTGATATCATAATTGCTTGCCTTCTAAGTGGGTGGGGAAGGGGTGAGGGAATGGAAGAGAACTTGGAACTCAAAGTTTAAAAAGAAAACAATTATTTAAAATAAATAAATAATGTTTCAAATTATTATTTGTTATATGGAATGATTCCTTTGGAAGGGGAAACTCTCTGGTGACAGAAAACAAAAAAAAATCAATAAAAATTATTTTTTAAAAGTGAGCATAAGTGAAGCTGGCAGAAAATATTTTGGAAAATATGGTTCATTTGAGAAATGTGAAGGGATAAGGACTTACTGATTACTCAGAGGACTCCACATTTTGAACACTTCCAGCAGAGCTGGACAATACTATACTTGGAGAAT